GAGGCGGCGGCGGAGGAGGTGGAGCTGGTCGGGGTGGCGCTGCGCAGAGGGTCGGCTCCGGTGGTGGTCAGCGCCAGCAGCAGCAGCAGCAGCAGCAGCAGCGCACTCGTGACATCCCCCCCCCTCAGCAGCTCCGTGAGTGGTACGCTGCACGCCAGCGGGGTGGGGGTACTGGTCCGTGCACCTACGTCTTCCGCACCGGCGACCGCGCGGGTGACCAGTGCGGGGGTGCGCACTCCACCCAGCGCTGCTTTGGCCGCCTGACGGACGCTTGGCGTCACCAGTTCCCTGAGGCCACTGAGATCCCCCGCTGGGGTGAGCTGTCTAGGGCGGGTGTCGCTGTCTTTGACCTTGACTTTGATGCTATTCTTGCTGCCATGTATACTGTGACTATTAGTGATGAGGGTGACTGTTACCGGTGTTTTCCGCCCGACCCGGGCATTCAGACTGCTGCTCTAGGTACTGGTGAGGCTGCTGCTCTAGGTGCTAGCGAGGCTGCTGCTCTAGGTGCGTCTGCTCCCTCAGGTGCTGGTGAGTCTGCTCTCTCAGGTTCTGCGTCGGCTTCGGCCTCCCACACCTTCACCCTTGACTCGGGGGCTTCTCGCTCCTTCTTTCGAGACCGCACCACACTCACGCCGCTTGGCCGGCCAGTTGCGGTCTCTCTGGCAGACCCCTCTGGGGGTCCTGTCCTTGCTCACTTCTGCACTGTCCTCCCGTGTCCGGCGGCCCCCTCTGGCACCCTGTCTGGTCTTTACCTCCCCTCGTTCTCTACGAACTTGGTGAGTGGTGCTGACCTACAGGATGCGGGGGTTCACCAGTTCACTCATGCGAGTCAGCGGGTGACCCACTGCACGGACGCTCGGACTGGCCGACACCTGGCCACGTTTACCCGTCGGCCGGGGTCGAGCCTGTACACCCTGACCACTGCGTCTCCTCCAGTCACTGCGTCTGGTCAGGTAGCTGCGTCGGGTCAGGTGTTTGCTGCAGCGTCCAGGTCTGGTCCTGAGTCTGCCCCCTGTTCGTGTCGCCTCCTGTCTCACGAGACTCTCCTCTGGCACCACCGCCTTGGTCACCCCTCCCTGCTTCGTCTCCGAGGCATGGCCTCCCGTGTCCTTGTCTCTGGTCTCCCCCGGTGCTGAGCTTGGGGGTGCTGAGCCTGGGGGTGCTATGCCTGGGGGTGCTGAGCCTGGGGGTGCCACGCCTGGTGGTGCTGAGCTTGGGGGTGCGGAGCCTGAGGGAGCTGGGCCTGCTCGTGTGGCGTCTGGCGGTGCTGGGCCTGGAGGTTCTCCGGGTGCTTCGCCTCGGCGGGAGCCACTCTCTCCACAGGAGCTGCGCGAGTGGTTTGCCCGGCGCTGGAGGCGTGCTGCTGGAGCTGGAGGTTCGTCGGCTGCTGAGGGTGCTGGTGCCGCGGGTCCCGGAGGTGCTCGTACTGGGAGTACTGGAGCTGCTGGGACTGCGGGTACGACTGGAGCTGGAGCTGCTGAGGGTGTTGGCGCTGAGGCTACTGCTGTCGGTCCTGGAGGCGGTCCTGCTGGGGGTGCTACTGGTGCTGCTGGAGGTACTGGAGCTGGTGGTGCTGCTGGCGCTGGTGCTGCCGCTGGGGGTACTGGTGCTGTCCCTGCTGTGTCTGGAGTCGCCGCGCAGCCTAGGCCGTACTTCGTTCCGCTCCTTCAGCAGGTTCTTGGTCTCCCGCCTTCTACTGGTCCTCCTCCTCCCTTAGAGTGTCCACAGCCTGTCCCGTCACAGCTACAGTTACAGCCGGCCTCCCCACTGCCCGCTCCTTCTCCCTACACTGGTCCTACTGGAGGTCTTGCTGAGCGTCGTGAGCCTGCGTCTCGCCCTGCGTCGCCTGTCCGTGCTGCTCGCACTCGTGGTCGTGGTTCGCGTCAGGGTCCTCCTCCTGTCCCTGGCACGCACCGGATGTCTCTGCGTCCGTCCACTGCTCCTCTGCGTGCCCCTTTGCCTTCTCCTCCTGAGTCCTCTCTTCCTGCTCTTCCTGACCCGGAGTCGGACTCTCTTCGTGCTGCCAGTCCTACTGTCACGCGTCTCCTTGCTACTGTTGTCACTGACCCTTCCTTTGAGTCCACTGCTGCGTCTGCCCTAGTTACTGAGCTCGTCGACTTTGCTGCTCGCTGTCGTCTAGACTACGCTGCTAGTCTTGTTGCTGAGTCTGAGTCTGTCTGTCCTCCGTCCGTCGGGGGTGAGTGTGCCCTTGGCACGGACGTCCTTGAGGACAGGCAGGAGGAGTTCCAGTGTTTGGCTGCTGCTTCACCTCATCTCGTGTCCGTACTGCTTACCCCTGAGGGAGACCCGGATGCACTTGACATCCCGACTCCGCGCTCTTACGCGGAGGCGATAGAGGGTCCCTACTCCTCTCAGTGGCAGGCAGCTATGGACGCAGAGATGGCTTCCTGGAAGTCCACAGGCACCTACGTTGACGAGGTTCCCCCGCCTGGGGCGAACATCGTCAGTGGCATGTGGATTTTCAGGGTGAAGCGACCGCCGGGTTCTCCGCCTGTCTTCAAGGCGCGTTACGTGGCTCGTGGCTTCAGTCAGCGGCAGGGAGTTGACTACTTTCAGACCTTCTCTCCCACCCCGAAGATGACCACTCTTCGGGTACTGCTGCACATAGCTGCTCACCGCGACTACGAGCTGCACTCTCTTGACTTCAGCACTGCTTTCTTGCAGGGCAGTCTGCACGAGGAGATCTGGTTGCGTCGCCCACCTGGCTTCACTGGGTCTTTTCCTCCTGGCACCCAGTGGAGCCTCCGGCGGCCAGTCTACGGTCTCCGCCAGGCACCGCGTGAGTGGCACGACACACTGAGGACTACACTTGCGGCTCTTGGGTTTGCTCCCTCTACTGCCGACTCGTCGCTGTTTCTGCGCACCGACACTTCTTTGCCGCCGTTCTACATCCTCGTGTACGTCGACGACTTGGTCTTTGCCACAGCTGACACTGCTGGACTCGCCCACGTGAAGTCCGAGCTGCAGAAGAGACACACGTGCACAGACCTGGGTGAACTGCGTAGCTACCTTGGCTTGCAGATCACCCGGGACAGAGCACGCCGCACCATTACCCTGACTCAGTCACACATGGTGCAGCAGGTCCTTCAGCGCTTCGGCTTCACGTACTCCTCGCCTCAGGCCACTCCTCTGCCTACTCGCCACTCGCTCTCAGCTCTGCCTTCGGATGAGTCCGTAGAGTCGAGTGGCCCGTACCCAGAGCTTGTTGGCTGCCTCATGTACCTGATGACCTGCACACGACCTGACCTTGCGTACCCTCTTAGCATTCTTGCACGCTATGTTGCTCCTGGGAGACACAGACCGGAGCACATGGCTGCAGCAAAGAGGGTGTTGCGCTACTTGTGCAGTACGTCGGGCATGGGGCTAGTGCTTGGAGGGCGGCATTCAGTGGTCCTCACAGGTCACGCAGACGCTTCTTGGGCTGACGACCAGGCTACGCAGCGGTCGTCACAGGGTTACACCTTCAGCCTTGGTTCTGGCTCTGTTTCGTGGCGGTCTACCCGCTCGTCTTCTGTTCTCGGCTCCAGCTGTGAGGCTGAGATCTACGCGGGGGCCATGGCTGCACAGGAGCTACGCTGGCTCACCTACCTGCTGACTGACCTAGGAGAGCCGCCTCGTTCTCCTCCAGTCCTGTACGTAGACAACAAGGCCATGCTGGCCTTGTGTCGGGAGCACAGACTGGAGCACGGAACGAAGCACATTGCTCTTCGCTACCTCCTTGCTCGTGAGCTGCAGCAGCGTGGTCAACTGCGCCTTGCTTACGTGGCCTCTCAGGCCAACACTGCTGATATTTTTGCCAAGGCACTTCCGCCTTGTGATCATCAACGCTTTTGTACGATGCTAGGTCTTGTGCCTACTTGGCCTCACTTGCTCACTTCTTGACCTTGCTTGTACTGTGATCTATCTATACCTGCACTTGCTTGTTTACCTTTATATATGATCTTGCATGTGAACTGGCCTTGTGGCCTTGAACTTGTGCTCGGAATGTGTGGTGACGTTGTGATCCACCCTGAGCTTGCTTTGCCTTGCTTTGCTTGACTGGTCTTGTGACCCCTTGTTCTCCCCCACTTTGCCTATGGGGGTGTGTCAGATTTATATGACATAGCTACTGTAGGCTATAGTGGGGTAGCACATATGGGGTACAGTTTTCCTAGGGTTTGCATTTGTACCCAACTTTCCCTTAGCCATTTCATTCCTCGTTTCTTCTCACTTGTCCCTCCTTACTCAACATTACTCTCTACACTTGTCTCCTAGCCTATCTTAAGAAGATGGGCCCTGTTGTACAGAAACGACACGAAGAAAGTTTGTTTCAGTGCATTTCAAAAAGTACCCTGACGAAACAAGGGAATTCTCGAGGAGGCCTGATTTTGAAAGTGTATTTAAAAAAGTGCATTTTTACAGTCAGGGTCAATTGGTAAATACACTTACTGAATCAGGGAAATCCTGGAAAAGCGGCCCACAGCAAGGGTAGAAAGGGTAAAACGCCCTTGAATTTTGGGCCCTGGTCACAAGGACGACGCGCACGGCACTTTCAGCGCCGTTGAACAAGATCACATTTCGGGGTTGTGTCACTTCAGTAACAATACATGCGACTCCGTCGCACAATCCGGCCAACTGTGCGATCTGCAAATCTGACACTTTTGCAGACCGGCCTGTAAATCGGCCACTAAATCTGTCAGATTGCAACACCTTGAAAATGTGGCTGGATGGTGGTCGGTTTACCATTCGACCATTCGGTCTACTTTGGCGAAAAATATTGTCGACCAAAAGGGCGACAAATTTGCAGCCAAATCATATTGTAGCGGATCTTACGCACCCTCAGAATTCTTGCTATGCGAGGGTTTTGGTGAACACGCCAGTTCCCCCGCGAGCCCTGCTGCAGAGTAGTGTCTTCTAGGTATCACGCGGTTCGCGAGCTAGCAGGGCTGGGTTATCGACGCTAGGTAGACGACATGGCGTCGAGAATTCTCTCCCGAATGTCACTAGCCGCGCCAACGCTCCAGCCGTTAGCGCCGCGCTTCCTCCGCCGCTCCCTTCGTGCGCTTCCCCCGAGCGCCCTCCGCGGCCGCCCGCTCACGCTTCCGCCGAGCTACGCGCGCGGAAGCTCTTCCCGTCTCGCGCAGTATCTTTCTTCGCGCGCGGAGCTCTCTGCAACATCTGTATCGGCGGAAGCTGCGCCAGCGGGGGTATCTGCGGATGGGACCAGCGCGGAAGCGGAACAGCTGCGGAGCAGCGGGGCTGGGGAGAGCGGGAAGACTCCTAAAGCCGGAACGCTTACGTTTCAGGACGCAATTCAGCGACTCCAGGTGTAACCGGGTTACCAATGGGGTGCCGCATAGTGTTACGAGTAGCCCGCGTCGAGTGTGCATTGAGCGCGATACCGCCGTTTCACTCAATGCCGCGACGTCTGATCACAGTTTAGTGGCGTTTTGACGTGACGGGTTACCACGCGTGAAAAGAATCCGTGTTTCAGGGGAATTCTGCTCCGTGCTGCACCCGACTCAAGTCCCAACGGCCTCATTCCCCCATGCGCTCTCCCCCCCCTCCTCCAACCCATCGCACGGCAGGAATACTGGGCGGGCGTGGGGTGCGCGGTGCTACAGCCGAGCAGCACGGAGGTGGGAGCGGGCACCATGAATCCCGCCACCTTCCTGCGCGTGCCTTGAAAGGCCCTGAGCGGTGTCTCACAATACCACCCTCCCCATATCCCCTCACCACTCCGCATCTTGATAGGAATACTGGGCTGGAGTGGGGTGCGCGGTGCTACAGCCGAGCAGCACGGAGGTGGGAGCGGGCACCATGAATCCCGCCACCTTCCTGCGCGTGCTGGGCCCCGAGGCGTGGCGCGTGGCCTACGTGGAGCCCTCCATGCGCCCCGACGACAGCCGCTTCGGAGATAACCCGAACCGCGTGCAGCGCCACACGCAGTTCCAGGTGAGGGCTCTCTCAGGTGCTCTGCGGTGGCATTGCTCTCAGGTGCTCTGCGGTGGCATTGCTCTCAGGTGCTCTGCGGTGGCATTGCTCTCAGGTGCATAGCCTCCCAGGGCATTCCCAGCCCAGCCATCCATGCGCTCCGACGACAGCCGCTTCAGAGACAACCCCAACCGCGTGCAGCGCCACACGCAGTTAAATGTGGGTTGGGGGCGCTCAGGTGCTCCCTGCTGCTCTCAGCTGCCCTCAGCACATCCCCCACTGCATTGCCCCGACGAAAGCCGCTTCGGGGACAACCCCACCCACGCTGTGCCTTCCCGTGCCTTCTCCCCTCTCCCCTCAAGCCATCCTGAAGCCCGATCCTGGCAACTTGCAGCAGCTGTACCTCGTAAGCCTGGCGGCGCTGGGCATCCACAGCCGGCCGGCATTGTCGTCACACCCCCCTCCTCTCCTCCCACCTTATCATCCCGCAGGTCATCCTGAAGCCAGACCCAGGCAACGCGCAGGAGCTGTATTTAGGCAGCCTGGCAGCGCTGAGAATAGACAGCAAGCAGCACGACGTGCGGTTTGTGGAGGACAACTGGGAGTCGCCCGTGCTCGGCTCGGCGCATAGAGGGGGCTCGGCTCAGTGCATAGAGGGGGCTCGGCTCAGTGCATAGAGGGGGCTCGGCTCAGTGCATAGAGGGGGCTCGGCTCAGTGCATAGAGGGGGCTCGGCTCAGTGCATAGAGGGGGCTCGGCTCAGTGCATAGAGGGGGCTCTGAGCTCCCCTTCCCCCTTCCCTTCCCCACGGCCTCCCCTGCCCTCTCCCCACTACCATCAGGTTATTCTCAAGCCAGACCCTGGGAATGCGCAGGAGCTGTACTTAGGCAGCCTGGCAGCGCTGGGCATCGACAGCAAGCAGCACGACGTGCGGTTTGTGGAGGACAACTGGGAGTCGCCCGTGCTCGGGGCGTGGGGGCTGGGCTGGGAGGTGTGGCTCGATGGCATGGAGATCACGCAGTTCACCTACTTCCAGCAGGTGCAGTGCGGTGCAGTGCGGTTGGGGTGGGTGGGTGTGGAGAGAGAGCGGTTGGAATGGGTGTGGAGGACAACTGGGAGTCGCCCGTGCTCGGCGCCTGGGGACTGGGCTGGGAGGTGTGGCTGGATGGCATGGAGATCACCCAGTTCACCTACTTCCAGCAGGTGCAGTGCGGTGCAGTGCGGTTCAGGTGGGTGGGTGCGGGGAGAGAGTGGTTGGGATGGGTGTGGAGGGAGTCGCCTGTGCTCGGCGCCTGGGGGCTGGGCTGAGAGGTGTGGCTGGATGGCATGGAGATCACGCAGTTCACCTACTTCCAGCAGGTGTAGTGCGGTTGTGATGGGTGCGGGGTGGTTGTTCTTGATGTTTTCAACGAGCTGGCTCCGCGGCATATAGGTTTTTGAGTAGATTCAAAAGCATTGTCCACCAAGCACAGCACACAGCCTGCTTGGCTGTGCTGTAAGGATTACCGGTGCACCTAACGAATCACAGCAGCTGAGCTTGCTCTTTTCTGCTGTAACTTCCCCTGTTACCTAAAGAATCTGCTATCTCTTCTCCGGTTGCTGCGTGTGTGCATGTACATGTATGCATGTGTGTGTATGTTCATATGCATACGTTCGTATGCATCATGTGTACATGCATGATATGTGCATACCGTTACGTCCATGCATGCATGCAGGCAGGGGGCATGCCGCTATCACCAGTGTCAGTGGAGATCACGTACGGCCTGGAGCGCATCATCATGAGCCTGCAGGTACGTGCTTTGTGGCATGCTGGTGGTACGGTACTGGCGCATCATAACGAGACCTTTGTGAGTGGAGATCACACACGGCCTTGCGCGCATCATCATGAGTTTGCAGGTACGAGTGTGGTGGCATGTACCCTGTCTGCAGGTAAGTGCATCATCATGAGTCCCATTGCCAGTGCCAGTGGAGATCACATACGGCCTTGAGCGCATCATCATGAGCCTACAGGTACGATCCCCTATGCAGTCGTCTATGCTTCTGTGCAAGCAGCCTTCACGTACGGCCTTGAGCGTCATCATGAGCCTGCAGATGAGCTCGTCGCCTATGCACATGAGTGACGTATGGGGGGCTGTTGTTAGAGAACGAGACGAGAGGGAGATGAGCTCCCTTGACTTGCTTGCCTTGCCACTCCTCCTTTTCTTTCACCCCCCCGGGTCACTCCTCTCCACTTGCCAGGGTGTGGACCACTTGAAGCACATCGCCTATGCGCCTCACCTCAACCAACATGCACTGCCTGCCAGTCACACGCCTCCCGTCCGTCACTCCCCTCTGTCATTCTCTCTTCCCTTTGACAGGGCGTGGACCATTTCAAGCGCATCGCGTACGCCTCTGGAGTGACCTACGGGGAGCTGTTTCTGGAGAACGAGAGGGAGATGAGCTGCTTCAACCAACATGCACTGCCAGTCATACGTCCATGTCATTCATTCTCTTCCTGACAGGGCGTGGATCATTTCAAGCGCATCGCCTATGCCCCTGGTGTCACCTACGGGGAGCTGTTCTTGGAGAACGAGAGGGAGATGAGCTGCTTCAACATGGAAGAGGCGGACACGGAGAGGGTCAAGCAGCGCTTTGATCTCTACGACGCCGAAGCACAGGCTTTGATTGACAAGCAGCTGGCCATTCCCGCGTGAGTATGGAAGAGCTGGGGGGAGGCTGGGCTGGGTGGGTTTCGGTTGCACCTAACCTGCACCTCAAACCTGCACGTCAAACCTGCACCTCAAACCTGCACCTCAAACCTGCACCTCAAACCTGCACCTCAAACCTGCACCTCAAACCTGCACCTCAAACCTGCACCTCAAACCTGCACGTCAAACCTGCACCTCAAACCTGCACCTCAAACCTGCACCTCAAACCTGCACGTCAAACCTGCACCTCAAACCTGCACCTCAAACCTGCACGTCAAACCTGCACCTCAAACCTGCACCTCAAACCTGCACGTCAAACCTGCACCTCAAACCTGCACCTCAAACCTGCACGTCAAACCTGCACCTCAAACCTGCACCTCAAACCTGCACCTCAAACCTGCACCTCAAACCTGCACCTCAAACCTGCACCTCAAACCTGCACATCAAACCTGCACCCCAAACCTGCACGTCAAACCTGCACCTCAAACCCGCACCTCAAACCTGCACCTCAAACCTGCACCTCAAACCTGCACCTCAAACCTGCACGTCAAACCTGCACCTCAAACCTGCACCTCAAACCTGCACCTCAAACCTGCACCTCAAACCTGCACCTCAAACCTGCACCTCAAACCTGCACCTCAAACCTGCACATCAAACCTGCACCCCAAACCTGCACGTCAAACCTGCACCTCAAACCCGCACCTCAAACCTGCACCTCAAACCTGCACCTCAAACCTGCACCTCAAACCTGCACCTCAAACCTGCACCTCAAATGCGTTTAACATTCTGGTCGCCAGGGGCGCCGCTGTGGGGGTCACTGAGAGAGATATCCCTTAATGCTGCACCCTGCCTTCCCATGCACACCCATCCCCCCCCGCTGGTTCGACCATGTGCTCAACACGTCACACGCGCTCAACATCCTGTTGGTTATCGCGATGCCATCCCCCTGCCTGTCTATCCCCATATTCACTCCACTGTGCAACACCCCTTCCCATCCACCCCCTCCACTCATTCACACCATTCCCATGCCTCCGCAGATTTGACCACGTCCTCAAGACGTCCCACGCGTTCAACATTCTGGATGCAAGGGGTGCTGTTGGGGTCACTGAGAGAGCTCGCTTCTTCGGCCGTATGAGGAGGTGTGTGCAGTGCGGTGCAGTACGGTGAGCATGGGTGCAGTATGGGGGATGTATGGTTGCATTCTGGATTCCAGGGGCGCCGTGGACGTCACTGAGAGAGCCTGTTTTTTCGGCCTCATGAAGAGGTGAATGCAGTCCAGTGTGGATGGGTGCAGTGCGGTGTGCATAAGAGCAGCACAGTATGTATGGGTGCATGACATGACAGTCCTACGATCAAGCCATCCGTGTTGACATGACTTGTGGAAACCAATGAAAAAGGATTACAGATTATAGAATGACCCACTTGCTTAAAAACTCTCCCATCATTCCTCCCCACCCCACCCCTTTCTCCTTTCCCGTTTTTTCTCCCCCTGTGTCCTCCTTCTTGTCCCGTCACCCTCACCCCCCAAGCCAGCCTGGCGCGTCAGTGCGCCCAATTGTGGGTCGACACGCGGGAGAAGCTCGGCTTTCCATTGGGCCGGGCGGATGCTGACGTGGCGCAGCCAACAGGCGACACATGGCCGTCCGCTGACGTGGCGGCGCAGGACGGGGCGGCGAGTGCGGGCGGCGTGGAGGCACGGGAGGGCGAGGGGCGGATGCTAGTGGTGGAGATCGGTACAGAGGAGTTGCCGCCTGATGATGTCAGCAGCGCTGTTGCCCAGGTGGGTGCACTGGGTGCACACTGGGGTGCTGGTTGCCACCTATCAGTCCCACCTATCAGTCCCACCTATCAGTCCCACCTATCAGTCCCACCTATCAGTCCCACCTATCAGTCCCAACCACCTATCAGTCCCACCCACCTATCAGTCCCACCTATCAGTCCCACCTATCAGTCCCACCCACCTATCAGTCCCACCTATCAGTCCCACCTATCAGTCCCACCTATCAGTCCCACCTGTCAGTCCCACCTGCCATTCTCGTTTCCCTCTCTGCCAGCTGCTAGCAGCCATCCCACCGCTACTAACGCGCCTGCGGCTGCCATACGACTCAGTGCAAGTGGAGGGCACACTCAGGAGGGTCGCTGTGCAGGTGTGCCCATTCTCATCCCTACCGTGTCCTCTCCCCATTCCCCCAACCCCCTGTTGCCAGTTGCAAGCAGCCATCCCGCCTCTTCTCACTCGCCTGCGCCTGCCGTACAGCTCAGTGCGAGTGGAGGGCACGCCCAGGAGGGTGGCGGTGCAGGTGGCGGGGCTGGCAGCGTGGCAGCAGCGCGAGCAGCGGGAGGTGCGGGGGCCGCCGGCTAACAAGGCATTTGACAAGGACGGGAAACCTACTAAGGTACCGCTAAATCCTGAACTTGAAACCTGAACAATTGTTGCTATTTATTATGCAGTGATAAAGTACAAGTCTACATTGTGCTAAGTCCAAGTTCAGAATACCCACAATGCCTGTGTGATGTGGCTACCTGTTTCAGCAGTCATTTGCAATAGCGCCCGTAGTGTCGAATCATAGTTGCGCCTTTCCCTCGTCTTCCCCCTTCTCCAGGCGCTAGAGGGCTTCTGCAAGCGTAACGCGGTAACCGCAGAGGCGGTAACCACGCGGGCGGACGACAAGGGCGTGGAGTATGTGTGGGCGAGCGTGAGCGAGGAGAGCCGACCCGCGTGGGCCGTGCTGGGGGAGCAGCTGCCGGCCGTGATTGCAGGGATTGCGTTTCCCAAGACCATGCGGTGGAACTCCCAGGTGGGTGCAGCTGGCAGGTGGGCATGCGGAGATGACATAAGCAATTGGGTAACAGAGTAGGAGTGTGAGCGAGGAGGGCAGACCTGCATAGGCAGTGCTGGGGGAGCAGCTGCCTGGGGTCATGGCAAGGATTGCGTTTCCTAAAACCACGCGGCGGAACTCCCAGGTGGGTGGGTGTGCACGCGGTGGTTATGACAGTGATGAGAGGGTAGCAGAGCACGAGTGATTCGTTGATTGCTGGGCTCACCTTTTCCAAACCAGTACGGTGACCTCTCATTTGTGCTTCGAGTTGAGAAGGCTTTGACAGCCCGTCTGTAATGATTGCTGGAGCCAGCCATCACCCCGCTGCCCGTGCACGCCCAACCCAAGGTTCGATCAGTGGCCTCGTCCCACCCTACCCCACCTCCGTCATCACACCCCACAGGTGGCTGCTCGGCGGCACGATGGTGCCCTTCCTTCCTTCACGCAACCCCAACCTTCCTTCCTTCACCGCACCCCTGCCCCTCACCACTCCGCACCACAGGTGGCGTTCACCCGCCCCATGCGGTGGCTGCTGGCCATGCAACGGCCACACTGTGGTGCCCTTTCACCCAACCCCAGCCTTCGCTTGTTCACCGTATCCCTCCCCGTCCCTACCCCCATCCCTCACCCTTCCACACAGGTGGCGTTCAGCCGTCCCATTCGGTGGCTGCTGGCCATGCACGGCCACACCGTGGTGCCGTTCGCCTATGCAGGCCTGGCGTCGGGCAATGAGTCATGGCTGCTCAGGAACGCGCCAGAGACACGAGTGCAGGTGAGCTACGTGCTTTCGATGCTGTCAGTCAGGGCTGCCACATGCTTCAAGATTCAGATCACTCTGACCATCTTTCAAATCACCCGCCTGAATCACCCGCCTGATTCAAATCACCCGCCTGAATCACCCGCCTGAATCACCCGCCTGAACCATCTTTCACCTCCATCTCAGTCCCTCCGTATGCTCTACTTCCATCCCCGTCCCCGTACATCCCATCGCATCTCCATACATCCCATCCCATCCATCCCCACACGTGACACTGCTCTAGCTGCCATGTGCAGAGGACGACTCTAGGCGCATTCTAAAAATTCTCATCCATCCCCCTTGTACCACACCTCACCACACCGCACCGCACCACACCAGCTACCATCTGCAGAGGAGTATGCAGCAGCCATTGCAGCTGCCGACATCACCCTCTCCATTCAGGTGCGCCCCACCACTTTCCCATGCATGCACGTGTGCTCTCCCCATCCACGTGCGCGCATCTCCCCACCCACTCTTACCTCTCTCTGCTTCCCTTCTCCACTCATCTCCCATCTCATGAACCGTATCCTGTCACGAGGATACTCCTGTCACGAGGATACTCCTGTCACGAGGATACTCCTGTCACGAGGATACTCCTGTCACGAGGATACTCCTGTCACGAGGATACTCCTGTCACGAGGATACTCCTGTCACGAGGATACTCCTGTCACGAGGATACTCCTGTCACGAGGATACTCCTGTCACGAGGATACTCCTGTCACGAGGATACTCCTGTCACGAGGATACTCCTGTCACGAGGATACTCCTGTCACGAGGATACTCCTGTCACGAGGATACTCCTGTCACGAGGATACTCCTGTCACGAGGATACTCCTGTCACGAGGATACTCCTGTCACGAGGATACTCCTGTCACGAGGATACTCCTGTCACGAGGATACTCCTGTCACGAGGATACTCCTGTCACGAGGATACTCCTGTCACGAGGATACTCCTGTCACGAGGATACTCCTGTCACGAGGATACTCCTGTCACGAGGATACTCCTGTCACGAGGATACTCCTGTCACGAGGATACTCCTGTCACGAGGATACTCCTGTCACGAGGATACTCCTGTCACCGAGGATACTCCTGTCACGAGGATACTCCTGTCACGAGGATACTCCTGTCACGAGGATACTCCTGTCACGAGGATACTCCTGTCACGAGGATACTCCTGTCACGAGGATACTCCTGTCACGAGGATACTCCTGTCACGAGGATACTCCTGTCACGAGGATACTCCTGTCACGAGGATACTCCTGTCACGAGGATACTCCTGTCACGAGGATACTCCTGTCACGAGGATACTCCTGTCACGAGGATACTCCTGTCACGAGGATACTCCTGTCACGAGGATACTCCTGTCACGAGGATACTCCTGTCACGAGGATACTCCTGTCACGAGGATACTCCTGTCACGAGGATACTCCTGTCACGAGGATACTCCTGTCACGAGGATACTCCTGTCACGAGGATACTCCTGTCACGAGGATACTCCTGTCACGAGGATACTCCTGTCACGAGGATACTCCTGTCACGAGGATACTCCTGTCACGAGGATACTCCTGTCACGAGGATACTCCTGTCACGAGGATACTCCTGTCACGAGGATACTCCTGTCACGAGGATACTCCTGTCACGAGGATACTCCTGTCACGAGGATACTCCTGTCACGAGGATACTCCTGTCACGAGGATACTCCTGTCACGAGGATACTCCTGTCACGAGGATACTCCTGTCACGAGGATACTCCTGTCACGAGGATACTCCTGTCACGAGGATACTCCTGTCACGAGGATACTCCTGTCACGAGGATACTCCTGTCACGAGGATACTCCTGTCACGAGGATACTCCTGTCACGAGGATACTCCTGTCACGAGGATACTCCTGTCACGAGGATACTCCTGTCACGAGGATACTCCTGTCACGAGGATACTCCTGTCACGAGGATACTCCTGTCACGAGGATACTCCTGTCACGAGGATACTCCTGTCACGAGGATACTCCTGTCACGAGGATACTCCTGTCACGAGGATACTCCTGTCACGAGGATACTCCTGTCACGAGGATACTCCTGTCACGAGGATACTCCTGTCACGAGGATACTCCTGTCACGAGGATACTCCTGTCACGAGGATACTCCTGTCACGAGGATACTCCTGTCACGAGGATACTCCTGTCACGAGGATACTCCTGTCACGAGGATACTCCTGTCACGAGGATACTCCTGTCACGAGGATACTCCTGTCACGAGGATACTCCTGTCACGAGGATACTCCTGTCACGAGGATACTCCTGTCACGAGGATACTCCTGTCACGAGGATACTCCTGTCACGAGGATACTCCTGTCACGAGGATACTCCTGTCACGAGGATACTCCTGTCACGAGGATACTCCTGTCACGAGGATACTCCTGTCACGAGGATACTCCTGTCACGAGGATACTCCTGTCACGAGGATACTCCTGTCACGAGGATACTCCTGTCACGAGGATACTCCTGTCACGAGGATACTCCTGTCACGAGGATACTCCTGTCACGAGGATACTCCTGTCACGAGGATACTCCTGTCACGAGGATACTCCTGTCACGAGGATACTCCTGTCACGAGGATACTCCTGTCACGAGGATACTCCTGTCACGAGGATACTCCTGTCACGAGGATACTCCTGTCACGAGGATACTCCTGTCACGAGGATACTCCTGTCACGAGGATACTCCTGTCACGAGGATACTCCTGTCACGAGGATACTCCTGTCACGAGGATACTCCTGTCACGAGGATACTCCTGTCACGAGGATACTCCTGTCACGAGGATACTCCTGTCACGAGGATACTCCTGTCACGAGGATACTCCTGTCACGAGGATACTCCTGTCACGAGGATACTCCTGTCACGAGGATACTCCTGTCACGAGGATACTCCTGTCACGAGGATACTCCTGTCACGAGGATACTCCTGTCACGAGGATACTCCTGTCACGAGGATACTCCTGTCACGAGGATACTCCTGTCACGAGGATACTCCTGTCACGAGGATACTCCTGTCACGAGGATACTCCTGTCACGAGGATACTCCTGTCACGAGGATACTCCTGTCACGAGGATACTCCTGTCACGAGGATACTCCTGTCACGAGGATACTCCTGTCACGAGGATACTCCTGTCACGAGGATACTCCTGTCACGAGGATACTCCTGTCACGAGGATACTCCTGTCACGAGGATACTCCTGTCACGAGGATACTCCTGTCACGAGGATACTCCTGTCACGAGGATACTCCTGTCACGAGGATACTCCTGTCACGAGGATACTCCTGTCACGAGGATACTCCTGTCACGAGGATACTCCTGTCACGAGGATACTCCTGTCACGAGGATACTCCTGTCACGAGGATACTCCTGTCACGAGGATACTCCTGTCACGAGGATACTCCTGTCACGAGGATACTCCTGTCACGAGGATACTCCTGTCACGAGGATACTCCTGTCACGAGGATACTCCTGTCACGAGGATACTCCTGTCACGAGGATACTCCTGTCACGAGGATACTCCTGTCACGAGGATACTCCTGTCACGAGGATACTCCTGTCACGAGGATACTCCTGTCACGAGGATACTCCTGTCACGAGGATACTCCTGTCACGAGGATACTCCTGTCACGAGGATACTCCTGTCACGAGGATACTCCTGTCACGAGGATACTCCTGTCACGAGGATACTCCTGTCACGAGGATACTCCTGTCACGAGGATACTCCTGTCACGAGGATACTCCTGTCACGAGGATACTCCTGTCACGAGGATACTCCTGTCACGAGGATACTCCTGTCACGAGGATACTCCTGTCACGAGGATACTCCTGTCACGAGGATACTCCTGTCACGAGGATACTCCTGTCACGAGGATACTCCTGTCACGAGGATACTCCTGTCACGAGGATACTCCTGTCACGAGGATACTCCTGTCACGAGGATACTCCTGTCACGAGGATACTCCTGTCACGAGGATACTCCTGTCACGAGGATACTCCTGTCACGAGGATACTCCTGTCACGAGGATACTCCTGTCACGAGGATACTCCTGTCACGAGGATACTCCTGTCACGAGGATACTCCTGTCACGAGGATACTCCTGTCACGAGGATACTCCTGTCACGAGGATACTCCTGTCACGAGGATACTCCTGTCACGAGGATACTCCTGTCACGAGGATACTCCTGTCACGAGGATACTCCTGTCACGAGGATACTCCTGTCACGAGGATACTCCTGTCACGAGGATACTCCTGTCACGAGGATACTCCTGTCACGAGGATACTCCTGTCACGAGGATACTCCTGTCACGAGGATACTCCTGTCACGAGGATACTCCTGTCACGAGGATACTCCTGTCACGAGGATACTCCTGTCACGAGGATACTCCTGTCACGAGGATACTCCTGTCACGAGGATACTCCTGTCACGAGGATACTCCTGTCACGAGGATACTCCTGTCACGAGGATACTCCTGTCACGAGGATACTCCTGTCACGAGGATACTCCTGTCACGAGGATACTCCTGTCACGAGGATACTCCTGTCACGAGGATACTCCTGTCACGAGGATACTCCTGTCACGAGGATACTCCTGTCACGAGGATACTCCTGTCACGAGGATACTCCTGTCACGAGGATACTCCTGTCACGAGGATACTCCTGTCACGAGGATACTCCTGTCACGAGGATACTCCTGTCACGAGGATACTCCTGTCACGAGGATACTCCTGTCACGAGGATACTCCTGTCACGAGGATACTCCTGTCACGAGGATACTCCTGTCACGAGGATACTCCTGTCACGAGGATACTCCTGTCACGAGGATACTCCTGTCACGAGGATACTCCTGTCACGAGGATACTCCTGTCACGAGGATACTCCTGTCACGAGGATACTCCTGTCACGAGGATACTCCTGTCACGAGGATACTCCTGTCACGAGGATACTCCTGTCACGAGGATACTCCTGTCACGAGGATACTCCTGTCACGAGGATACTCCTGTCACGAGGATACTCCTGTCACGAGGATACTCCTGTCACGAGGATACTCCTGTCACGAGGATACTCCTGTCACGAGGATACTCCTGTCACGAGGATACTCCTGTCACGAGGATACTCCTGTCACGAGGATACTCCTGTCACGAGGATACTCCTGTCACGAGGATACTCCTGTCACGAGGATACTCCTGTCACGAGGATACTCCTGTCACGAGGATACTCCTGTCACGAGGATACTCCTGTCACGAGGATACTCCTGTCACGAGGATACTCCTGTCACGAGGATACTCCTGTCACGAGGATACTCCTGTCACGAGGATACTCCTGTCACGAGGATACTCCTGTCACGAGGATACTCCTGTCACGAGGATACTCCTGTCACGAGGATACTCCTGTCACGAGGATACTCCTGTCACGAGGATACTCCTGTCACGAGGATACTCCTGTCACGAGGATACTCCTGTCACGAGGATACTCCTGTCACGAG